GTGACTTTTTCTGTAGTTTCATGAATCCCGACTACGATCAATTATTAGTAAAATAACTTCAGAGTGGTGACTTCATTTGTCGAAGAAAGTCATTGATCGCTTTGGGCTTGTTTATGACCGGACCCACCGACACTTATTGTTCTCCATTTCACTGTAGAAGTGTACTGAATCCACGTAGATTTGTCAAATTCAAGACTCCCTTGGTACGAAGACCAAGCACGTTTCTGTACTGCACCTACGCTGGCCTAACGAAAAGAATGGTTTTGGGACTGGTGGTGAAAATTGAACGGCATCAATCATATTTCCTACTACGAAAACAAAGCAATCGTTGCCAACAACAACTCACGTTAGCAACACTCACTACAAAGCAATCTTTAGGAAAAGAACAACAGCGCACTTTTTAAGTTATTATACGACAACAGGGATAGAAAAACAAATTTTCTTATTACATCCTTCTGGAATAGTATTCAAAACAACAACAAAGTTTTTAACAACAAATCACATAAATAGATTATAATCATGGGTTGGTGGTCATTAGGTCCCGAAGATGAAGAAGAAATGATGGACATGCCTCCCCCACCCCCGTCGCGACGGGCCCGTGGAGGTGCTGGGCGTGTTCCAGGAGGACGAGGTGGAGCCGGACGTGTTCCCCCCGAACGACCATCTAGAGAAAAGAAGCGTAGCTCTTCCCCAGGAAAGTCCAAGAGGAAAAAGAGCCCAGAGAAGAAGAAGTCCAAGGTTGTGGTTGCCGCACCCGAGGAAGAAGAACCCAATCTCTTCGCTTCTATTGGTCGCATGGTGAGCAGTGGCACTGCACCCAGACAATCTAGTGATGCTTCAACTATTGGAACTGCGAAGTACCCAGGAGCCAATGGAGTCCCCGTCAGGGCCTCTTCCAACGCTAACGAAGCAGCTCGCCGTGCCAACGAGATGGCCAACGCTATGGCCTGGTTGACCAACCCCGCCGCTGCTGGCGCCGAAGAAGAAGAGCCAGAGCCAGAAGCTGGAGCCGATCTATTCGGAGATGCTGGAAATTGGTGGGAATCTGAATTCGATGCCGACGAGGCCGACGATATGTCTCTTTTCTCCAATAACTCTTCCCTTCAAACTGAGGATATGCCCGATCTCATGGCCCTTCTAATGCATCGTCAAGATGAGACAGAGAATGAGAAGAGCAAGAAAAAGGCCAGCAAGGCTGAAGCTCGAAAGGCTGAGTACCAACAGGCTGAGCAGGCCAAATCCAAGGCTGAGGCCAAATCCAAGGCTGAGGCCAAGAAGAAGGCTGAGGCCAAGAAGAAGGCTGCCGCCAAGAAGAAAGCTGAGGCCAAGAAGAAAGCTGAGGCCAAGAAGAAGGCCGCCAAGAAAGCTGCTAAGAAGGCCGCCAAGGAACAAGAAGTCGACGAGTCCGAATCGGAGCCCGCAATGGAAGAAGAAACTTACGATCCAATTGCTGCTTTGGCTTACGATGATGACGAAGAGGAACCCCGCACAAAGGAACTCAGTGACACCTTGAAGTGGTGGTCTACCTACAATGAAGATGATGTTGAGAAGGCTACCGAAGACTTTGACGATCTGGACTCCATGAAGAAGGTTGTCGGATGGTGGTCTTCCAACGAGGACTATAGGCCTCCTAGCGACAAGAAGTTCAACGCTGACACCAAGAAGGCAATGAAGGTCAACAAGGCCTTCGACGCCTACAAGGTCGAATCCAAGGAGCTTTCTGCAGAAAAGAAAGCCAAGGAACTTGAATCCTCTCTCAAGTGGTTGCAAGATAGTACCACCAAGTATACTGAGGATGCTGCCGAATTCGAATACAACCAAGGAACCTTCAAGAAGGTCAATGATCTATTTGGACAATGGACTCCAAAGGGAGTTCCATCTCTTGATTGGGAAAGCTATGATCCCAGAGAAGACCCCAAGGACGCTGAATCGCGTGCGAAGGACTTGAAGGGATCTCTCAGTCTCGTCTTGAGTGGTGCATTCGACACTAATCATCCCAACTACAACTGTGCCGCGATCAACCGAATGAAGGATCTCTTTGCCGACTGGAAGTTGAAGGAAAACGATGGAGTCGAGGAATTGGACGATGCTCTTAGCTGGTGGAAACTCAATGCTATCAAGTACGACCCTCTCACCGCTTCCGCCGATGAAACCGACATGTATCTCAAGTCCAAGAAGATGCTTGCGATGTTCGGGCTAAAGGAAGGCGACGAATGGAACAAGCGCAACCAAGAGATTGAAGAAGCTATGTCTTTGTGGAAAAAGTACAAGGGAAAATCTTTGGACGACCTTGATGAGCCCACTGTTGGAAAGATGAAGAAGGTCAAGGATGCTCTTCTACAAATCAAGCGTGATTCCCTTGGCATGTCTGATATGAAGTACATGGCCAAGGAAATGGATGATGCCCTAGACTGGTACCTCGACAAGGGTTACAAGATCGAGGATTTGTCGAAGGTCAACAAGAAGTACAGGTCCAGCTTCAAGAAGGCACAAGCTCTCATGGGTCTCTGGGGAAAGAAGGCCGATCCTTCTCCCGATCAACTCAAGGAGATCGCGGAGTCTCTCATCTCTCTTCGCCGCAACAAGTACAATCCAGAGATTTTCGACAAGTTCGACGGAGAAGAAGGAGCTAAGTACCAACGACTCCAAGAAGCAATGATTGATTGGAGACTGAAGGGAGCCGAATCCGATACCATCACCTCTGATGAAGGCGAGGCTCTTGCCCGTGGAATTGAGAATGCAATGGATTGGTGGGTTGCCAACGGAGAGAACTTTGACTTTGAAACTGCTGACAAGGAGCAAATCTTCATGGCTCAAATGGTCAAGAGCACCTTGGAAATGTGGATCCCATTGGGTCCGGACGATGCTTTCACCTACAAGAAGTCAAGAGATGCAGTGGATGAGATCAAGGAAGTTCTCGCCCTCTACCGTGATAATGGCAAAAACTTTGATGTTGCTAGTTTGAAGGTCAAGTCTGGAGAGAGAGCTTCTCTTTTGAAATTGAAGGATGCTATGTTGCAATGGCGCAGAGGAAATGCCACCATCATTTCCGAAGTAGAATCCGAGCAAACTGTCAAGGAGATGATCAACGCCATGAACTGGTGGAAGAAGAAGGGCAAGGACTACGATGTTGTCGCCGACCGTATGGAGACTGTTCCAGTTATGCTCCGCCACAAGGAAGCTACCAACGCGCTTGAAGAATTCCACGAGGACTTTGGTGCTCCTAACCAAACTCCATTCAAGTGTCTTTCCCGCAAGGAACAAAAGAAGGTCGTCAAGGAACTTGACGAATCTGTTTCTTGGTGGAAGCGATCTGGAAAGAAGATTGATACCACTCAAGCTGAAGAGGACTTCGAGATGTTTGGGAAGGCTCATCGCCTCAGCCAAATGTGGTCCAAGGCCAACATGACTGAAGACGAACGCGAGAAGTTGTGTGAGGAGATCAGTGCTGATATCAACTGGTTACGCAAGAAGAGCAAGTCTATGGACCTTGACTCTGTGCCCGGGGACAAACCCAAGATGTTGCGAGAGCTATTCAAGACCTGGGACAGCCCAATTGAGCGCACTGCAAAGGCAACCGCCAAGGACATCGAGGGTGCTATCTCTTGGTGGCGAGGCAATGGTTTCGAACCTGAAGCAACCAGTTCAATCCGTTCTGACAATGAGAAGATTGAAAAGCTTGTTCGCATGGTTCACCAATATGCTGACTTCAAGAACAAAGAATCATCCGATCTATCGGACATGGCTTGGTTCCGCAAGGAGAAGATCCAAGAAATCAGCGATACTTTGGAAATTTTCGATGCTGATGCAGTTGACGCACCCAAGTCTGATTTTGCAGCCTTTACTCCTGCGGCTTCCGAGGAACAGAAACGCGCTCAAGAGATGTCAAGTGCACTTGATTGGCTTCGCAGCAACGATGCCGACCTTGACATTGATGATGAGATGTCTCTTGCTCTTTCTGTTGCAACTTTCAAGAAGATTGATGCTCTAATGCCAAAGACTGGAGATGCTTCCGAGAAGCCCACAACTATGGGTAGTGCTCTTGATTGGCTCCGTTCAAAGACTGATGTCGATGACGAAACAGTATCTAGCTTCAAGAAGATCGACACTGTGCTCACACGAAGTGGTGCATCAGAATCGATCGCTGCCGGAGGTTTCGGAGGTGCTTTGGACTGGCTCCGTCAGAGACAAGCAGAGAAGGCCGCCTCCGATGTTGATGCTGAATCTACTGGCCGAGGTGATCTTGCAGGCTTCGCAGGCGTTTCTGCAATGCCAAAGAGTGACGAAGAGAAAAGAGCGGATCAAATGGCCAGTGCGTTGGACTGGCTCCGCAGCAACGACATTGCCGAAGATGTGTCGGTCGGTAGCGGAATTGGTTCTCTTGGTAGTGGATATGGTTCTGTTGGTGTTTTCCATAAGGTTGGAGGAGCTGACGATTCTCAAGCCCCTCCTAGTGCTCTTGACTGGTTGCGTTCTCAAGCCGCAAAGAACGATAAGGTTGGAGATGATGGTACTGAAGGAATTGGCTCCATGTCTGGTCGATCTTTGACAGCCGAACAAAAACGTGCTAACGAGATGACGAATGCTCTCGACTGGTTGCGAGCGACCGAGGCTGATGGCGCTGTTAGCAATGATGGTGAACAAGAGTTCAGCGCCGTCGGAGCTTTTGAACCTCTAAATCTGGTTGGAAGTGCAGAGAACAGATCCCGAGAGATGGACAATGCTATGGCTTGGATGAGAGATGATTCGCCAACTGATGATGACACTGGTGACATGTCTTTATTTGGCATGGAAGGTGGCTTGAAACCGATGTCAGCAGAAGAGAAGAAGGCGATGCAAATGAACAATGCTTTGGATTGGTTGCGAAGCAATGGCGCTGACTTTGGTGATACTGCAATGCCAGATTTCAGCACGACCGATCAACTATCTGCCGGTGTTTATGGTCGCAGCAACGAAGATATCGCATTCGATCGAGACCGTGCATTTGATTGGCTTCGTGACAAAGATCCAAATGAGCTATCTGCTCTGGATGACCCTTTCGGCATCTCTGCAAGTACTCAGTTCAAGTCTGCGGAAATGAAGAAGTCAGAAGAAATGAATGATGCACTTGCTTGGCTGAGAACAAACGGAGCAGATTTCGGAGATGAGAACACCCCAGACATCTCATTCGATGCCTTCAATGTTGATAGCTTTGCTCCTGCATCCCGAGAAGTCAGAGACAAGGACCGCGATGAAGCTCTTAACTGGCTACGTGGAGGCTATGCTGGTGCTGATACCGAAGATGCTTCTATCGCCAAGTTTAAGCAGCTCGATGGAATTCTTCCAAAGAGAGAAGGGCAAACCGAAGACGCCCGTGCAATCGAGATGGAGAACGCTTTGAACTGGTTGAGAGGAAACGGTGTCGATGTTGACGACGAAGAATTTGATTTCGATTCGTTTGATGCGAAGCCTCAGAAGCATTCGGCTGCCCGTTCTCTCGAATCGCGGTACAATGAGCGTGATGACGCACTCAGCTGGCTTCGTGGAGCCCATAGAGATATGACGGATGATTCTTCTGCCTCCGTCTTCAGTAAGATTGATGCGGTTTTGCCAAGAAAGGAAGGGCAAACAGAATATGCTCGTGCTACTGAAATGGAGAATGCTCTGAACTGGTTGCGAGGCAACGGTGTTGATGTCACCGATGATTCGATTGGAGTTGATGCATTTGATTTTGAACAACTTGGCCAGCAATCATCAATCTTGAGAAGCAGCGAGGATCGGGACAAGATCAGAGATGATGCTCTAAGTTGGCTCAGAAGCGATGGCTACGACCAGGAGGATGAAGACTCTGCGTTCAAGAGGCTTGATATGATTCTGCCGAAGAAGGACCACCAATCGCAAGAGGACCGTGCGAAGGAAATGGAAACTGCTTTGGACTGGCTTCATCATAATGGTGTTGATGTCTTTGACGAAGTTGGATCGCCATCTTTCGAAAAGCTGTCGCTTTTGCCCACTGCTGGGAAAACAAGAGAGACATTTGATCACAAGGACGTTGATGTCATGATGAACTGGTTGCGTGGAGATAAAGATGAAAATCTTGATCCCATCGGAGTTTTCACAAAGCTTGATGAGTCCGTGACAATGAAGCCAGGCCAGTCTATGGAAAATCGGGCAATTGACCTGGTTAAATCTCTCAATTGGATGAGATCTAAGGGACTTCTCGAAGACTACGAAGCTGTACCTTCAAAGAAATCCAAGAAAAGCAAGTCGAAGAAGGTGAAGGCTGTGGTTCCATCCGATCGTACTCCAAAGCAAAGATCGAAAGATCTCGAAAAGATTTTGCAATGGATGCGTAAAGGAAAGGGAAAAGGTCAGAAGAAGGAAGACAAATACGATCCTGCCGGGGAGTACCGTAAGTTGGATAGCATGCTGCCAAAGAAGAAGGGCGAGACACCCGAAGATCGTGCACTAGAAATTGAAGGTGCTCTCGACTGGCTCCGTAGCCAAGATGATGCCGCCGAGGAGGTCACTGAACCGGTGGTTGATTTCAGCAAGTTCGGAGCTGTTCCTATCTGTAAGCGAAGTCCAGAGGATCGTCTAAAGGAACTACAAGATGTTATGAACTGGGCTCGAAACAAGGGGAAAGGAAAGAAGGACAAGTATGATCCAAGCGGAAACTTCCGCAAGTTGGATAAACTACTGCCCAAGAAGCGCGGGCAGACATCTGATGATCGCGCAAGAGAGATTGAAGGCTTTATGGATTGGATGAGAAATTCAGAAGTCATGCCCGAGGAATCTACCGATATTCCCGAGTTCGACAAACTTGAGTCCTTCAATGTCTCTCGCCGTACTCCAGAGCAACGCGCAAAGGACTTGGATGATGTCATGATGTGGATGCGCCAAAAGGGAGATGCTGATGAGAAAACAGATCCTACTGGAGATTTCCGCAAGTTGGATTCGATTTTGAAGGCCAAAAAAGATCAATCAAGTGAAGACCGTGCCAGAGAGATTGAGGGCGCACTTGACTGGTTGCGAAACTCTGACTCCGAGGAAGCTGTGCTCGGAACTACGGAAGATGTTGAGAATATTGCCAATATGCCAATCTGTGTTAAATCTCCAGAGCAAAGAAAATCTGATCTCGAGAACGCACTTGATTGGGTCCACAAAGGAAAGAAGGACAAGCATGACAGGCTAGGAGAATTCCGTAAGATCGATCAGCTGCTACCAAAGAAGAAGGGACAAAAGCCTGAAGACCGAGCTCGTGAAATCGAACAAGCACAAGATTGGGCTCGAAGCAAGGGAGTCGATCTATTTGATCCTACTGAACAAGCTCCCTTCAAGAACGCAGAGCTTGCCTCGTTTGCACGCCGAACACCAGAGCAACGAGTTAAGGATTTGCAAGATGTCACGAACTGGATGCGTAATAAGGGCAAGGATGATGAAATGCTTGATCCTACTGGCGATTTCAGGAAGCTAGACGCTGTGTTGCCACGCAAACGTGGGCAGAAGGGAGAAGCCCGAGCAAGGATGATCGAAGGTGCCTTGGACTGGTGCCGCGGTCCAGCAGGTACACCCTATGTTGGTAGTCAAGTGCCTTCAATGGAAAAGCTACCATTTGCTCCAGTAGCACGTTTCTCACCAGAACAGAGATCTAAGAACCTTGATGACGCCCTCAACTGGGTGCGTTCAAAGGGCAAGGATGACAAGTATGATCCCCATGGAGAGTTCAAGCGTGTGGATGCTTTGCTACCTAAGAGACGAGGTCAATCGAAGGAGGACCGTGCTCGAGAGATCGAAGCTTCTCTTGACTGGATGCGAAACAACGGCGTTTCTCCAACAGACGAAGATGTATTTGGCGCCTTCAAGAAGATTGGAAGCATCCAAACTTCTCGCCGCACACCTGAGCAGAGATCAAAGGACCTTTCAGAAGCCATGAACTGGCTCCGCAACAAAGGAGAGGATGATGATACTTTCGATCCAACTGGAGAGTTCCGCAAGTTGGACTCCATGCTTCCGCAAAAGAAGAAGCAGTCCTTTGAAGAGCGTGCTAGAGATTTAGAGTGCTCTCTAGACTGGGCCAGAGGAAATTCTGTCAGTGGAGTTGAAGAGGAAGAGCTGCCTTCTCTAGAGAAGTTTGGAGCTCCTCAATTCTCTCGACGCACTCCTGAGCAGCGTGCCAGAGATCTCCAAGATGCCTTGAACTGGTTACGCAATAAGGGCAAGGATGACGCAAAGCACGACGCTACAGGCGAATTCCGCAGGGTTGATCAGATTTTGCCAAAGAAAAAGGGACAAACAAGAGAACAACGAGCTCGTGAAATTGAGGGAGCGCTTGATTGGATGCGCGATATTGGACTATCTCTTGATGATGAAGAGGCTGTAAGCACATTCAAAAAGACCGAATGTGCACACGTTTCTCGTCGCACGCCTGAGCAACGTGGAAAGGACCTGCATGATGCCCTCAACTGGATGCGAAACAAGGGAAATGAAGACGATTTCTATGATCCAACTGGAGAATTTCGCAAGTTGGATGCTTTGTTGCCAGACAAGGTTGGAGTATCTTCTGGTGAGCGTGCCCGTGAAGTTGAAGGCGCGCTTGATTGGCTACGAAACCATGAGGAAAGAGATGCCAGCCTCGATGGCGTTACTTCTATTGCTACCCTTCTCTCTGTTCCAATTTCTCGAAGATCACCCGGGGAGCGTGAAGAGGATGTCGAGAAAGCTCTCAACTGGTTGCGAAATGGCAAGCTTCCCTCGGATGATCCAACAGGTAACTTCAAGAGAGTTGATATGCTCTTGCCTGAGAAAAAGAAGAGTGACAGTGAGAAGAAACGCGCTCAAGACATCGAGAGTGCTCTTGACTGGATGCGTAACAGCGGAGTTTCCCCCGCTGATGAGCATGCCGTGGATGAGATGAAGACATTTGGTATCGTATCTATCTCTCAACGAACACCTGAGCAAAGATCGCAAGACTTGAATGACGTTCTTACCTGGCTTCGCTCGAAGGGTGCAAAGGATGCCGTCCTCGATCCCACCAAACTCTTCCGCCAGATCGACGCGTTCCTTCCAGCTCGTAAGAACCAAAGCCAAGAAGATCGTGCCCGCGAAATCGAAGGAGCCCTTGATTGGATTCGCAATAATGGAGTTGAGAACCGATTGGATGACGCACTCACTGAGTTCAGCAAGCTTGGAACTGTTCCTGTCACTCGCCGAACTCCAGAAGAGCGAATGAATGACGTTGACAACATTTCCGGCTGGATGCGCAACGGAAAGGATTCTTCCATGGATCCTACCGGAGAATTCAAGAGAATCGATCAAATGCTTCCTAGGAAGAAGGGACAGAAGCCTGAAGACCGTATTCGTGATATTGAGTGTGCCTTGGACTGGATGAGAAACAAGAGCTTCACTCCAAGCGAAATCGATGGATTCGAGCCAGGATTCAGTGCAGTTGGAACCATCCCATTGACTCGCCGCACTCCTGAAGAACGTAAGAAGGATTTGGATGGCGTCATGAACTGGATGCGTAACGGCAAGCAAGAGAGCGAAGACCCAACTGGAGACTTCAAGCGAATTGATCAAATGCTTCCAAATAAGAAGCGTGGTCAAAGTGGTGACGAACGTGCCAGAGAGATCGAAGGTGCACTTGACTGGATGCGAAACAAGGGTGTCAGTCCAGTTGACCCCTCTTCTGTTCCTGGTTTCAGTCCAACTGATGCCTCTCACTCTGTCCAACGTCGCACTCCTGATGAGCGAAGCCAAGAACTGGATAACATCATGCAGTGGATGCGTAAGGGCAAGAATGATGAAGACGACCCAACTGGTGAATTCAAGAGAATCGACCAAATGCTTCCCAAGAAGAAGGGTCAAAGTCCTCGCCAACGCTGCAACGAGATTGAAAGTGCTTTGAACTGGTCACGAAACCAGGGTGCTGTTCCAGCTGATGTAGACGAGTCTATCCCTGCTTTTGAGAGCCTTGGTTCTGTTCCGATCTCTTGCCGTTCACCAGAAGAAAGAGAAAAGGATGCTGACCGTATTCTTTCTTGGTTGAGGAGTGACAAGGATGCTTCTTTGGATCCATCTGGTGACTTCAAGAGGGTTGATCAACTTCTTCCTTCGAAAAAGAAGCAAAAGTCCAGAGACCGCGCCCGTGACCTCGAGGGTGCCTTGGACTGGATGAGAAATCACGGAGTGTCCCCAGAAGATGAGGACTTCGCCGAGAAATTCGAAAAACTTGGTTCCATTCCCATGACCCGCCGCACTCCTGAGGATCGTAAGAAGGAAATGGACGACATCATGAACTGGTTGCGCAATGGAAAGTCCGACTCTGAGGATCCAACTGGAGACTTCAGTCGTATCGACCAAATGTTGCCCACGAAGAATGGACAGAAAGCTGAGGATCGTGCTCGTGAGATCGAAGGTGCTCTTGATTGGTTGAGAAGCAACGCTATTTCTTTGAGCCAAGATGAAGACTCAGAATCTCCCCTCGAACAGTTCTCTTTCGTTTCCATGTCCAAGCGCTCTCCAGAGGATCGAAAGCGTGAGGAAGACAAGATATATTCTTGGCTTAGAAATGGACAAGATGAGTCGCTTGATCTAACAAGTGAGTTCAAGCAAGTTGACCAAATGCTTCCAACCAAGAAAGGACAAAGTCCCAGAGATAGAGCTCGTGAAGTCGAAGGTGCTCTTGACTGGATGCGTAATAACGGATTGGTTCCAGCTCTTGATGATGGTGCTGTTGGCAAATTTAGCAAGCTCGGTTCCGTTCCAGTTTCTCGGCGCACTCCTGAAGATCGAAGCAAGGATATTGACAATGCATTGAACTGGCTTCGAAGTGGCAAACCAGATGCAAAGGACGAATCCGGTGATTTCAAGAAGATCGACCAGATGTTGCCCAAGAAGCAAAAGCAAGAGCCAGAGGATCGAGCCCGTGAGATTGAAGGTGCACTTGATTGGATGAGAAATCACGGTGTTGCAGTGAACGATGTTGAAGCAGCAGATGGATCTTTCAACAAAGCACCATCCATTCCTCTCACGAGACGCAGCCCTGAAGAAAGAAAGCAAGATATCGACGATGTACACAACTGGCTTCGAAACGGAAAGAACGACTCTGATGATCCAACTGGCGACTTCAAGCGAATCGATCAGCTTCTTCCAAAAAAGAAGAAAAGCCAGAAGGCCAAGAGCCGTGCTCGGGATGTTGAAAGCGCTCTAGACTGGATGCGAAACCACGATGTCTCCCCAACCGAGGAGGATAGTGATACTTTCGAGAAGTTGTCTTCTATCCCCATTTCGGTTCGAACTCCAGAAGAGAGAAAAGAGGCTCTTGATTCTGTCAGCTCTTGGCTCCGCAACGGAAAATCGGATTCTGATGACCCAACTGGAGACTTCAAGAGAATCAACCAGCTATTGCCAGCCAAGAAGAATCAGCCAACTATGGAAAGGGCACGACAGATCGAAGGAGCACTCGACTGGATGCGCAACCACTCGGTTGCTCCTTCTACCACCGACGATGTTGAATCGCCATTCAACAAGACATCTAGTGTGCCAATGACTCGTCGTACCCCAGAGGAGAGGCTCATAGACATGGGCGACATCATGAACTGGTTGCGCAACGGAAGGACCGAGTCTGAGGATCCAAGTGGAGACTTCACTCGTATCGACCAAATGTTGCCGAAGAAGAATGGACAAAAGCCAGAGGATCGCGCTCGTGATATCGAGGGAGCTCTTGACTGGTCAAGGAATAAAGGATTGCAACTTGCCGATTATGATGATATCATTCCTGGGTTCAGTAAGCCTGGATTGCTTCCCATGTCTTGCTGCACACCGGAGGAAAGAAAAAAGGAAGCTGATTCTGCTTTGAATTGGATTCGCAACGGCAAGGCGTCATCTGATGACCCAACAGGTGCTTTTAAGAGAATCGATCAAATGCTGCCACCTTCAAGTAAGAAGCAGTCTCCAGAGGATCGTTCTCGACAAATCGAGGCTGCCCTTGATTGGATGCGAAATAATGTTCCAGGTGCAAGTGAAGGCGATGTATCTTCGCCTTTTGAGACTATTGCTTCGCTTCCACTCTCGCACCGCACACCAGAAGAACGTAAAGAAGAGATTAATGCAGTTCTCAACTGGATGAGAAGCAAAAAGGACGATTCTCTTGATCCTACAGGTGAATTCAAGAGAATGGATCAAGCACTGGCATCAAAGAAGAACCAAAGCTCAATGGATCGTGCCAGAGAGATCGAAGGAGCCTTGGACTGGATGAGAAACAAGGGAGTGCAACCAAGCGATGATGATGAATTGATCCCTGGTTTCAATAAGCCTGGTTCTATTCCTGTCACCCGTCGCACGCCGGAGGAACGGTTGGGAGATGTTGATGCTGCCATGAACTGGTTGCGCAACGGAAAATCTGAGTCTGACGACTCATCTGGTGAATTCAAGCGCATCGACCAATTGCTGCCAAGAAAGGGAAACCAATCTCAAAAGGATCGTGCACATGAGATTGAGCGCGCTCTTGATTGGATGAGAAATAATGACGTCGATGCTGATTCTAACTTCGAAGATATCATGGAATTTGGAACTACTGAATCATTGTCTGTCAGTCTCCGTACCCCTGAAGAGAGATCATCGGATGTTAACGACATCACTGCCTGGTTGCGCAACGGAAAGGCCGAGTCTGATGACAGAACTGGAGACTTTACTCGTGTCGACCAGATGTTGCCCAAGAAGAAGGGACAGAAACTTGAGGATCGTGCTCGCGACATTGAAGCTGCTCTTGATTGGATGAGAAACAAGGGCGTGGTCGTCGGTGACGATCAAGCACCAACCGAATTTTCGAAGATCGGATCAGTTCCTATCTCTCGTCGCACACCAGAGAAGAGAATGGAAGATCTAGCCGACATCATGGCATGGATGCGTAACAGCAAGAGCGAATCTGCTGACCTCAGTGGTGAATTCAAGCGCATCGATCAGTTGCTTCCAAAGAAACGTGCTCAAAGTCAAGAAGACCGTGCTCGTGATATCGAAGGTGCCCTTGACTGGATGCGAAACACAGGAGTCGCACCTGCTGAAGACTCTAGTGTGCCTGCTGCAAGCATTGCCCCAGAAGGGAAGGGTGTATCAAAGCGAACACCTGAGCAAAGGGCAAAGGATCTTCGTGATGTCATGAACTGGATACGTAATCCTCAAGACGAATCTTTGGACCCAACTGGTGATTTCAGCAAAATTGACTCGATTCTTCCAAAGAAACGTGCTCAGTCAAAACGTGAAAGAGCTCTTGAGATCGAAAATGCTCTTGATTGGGTCCGAAATACGTCTGCTTTCCCTGGATATGATTCAGAGAACGTATCTGACTTTGCCCAGCTCGGATCTATCCCAGTTTCAAGACGATCGCCCGAGGAAAGAGAAGATGATGTTAATGATATCCTTTCTTGGATTCGTGGTGAAAAGAGTGGCTCTTTGGACCCTACAGGAGAGTTCAAGCGCATCGACCAATTGTTGCCAAGGAAGAAAAAACAGACTCCCAAGAGCAGAGCTCGTGATATGGAATCCGCGTTGGATTGGATGCGAAACAATGGCGTTTCTTCCGATGACGTTGACATCGTGGATAAGTTCAACACAATGAGCTCAATTCCTCTCTCACGTCGTTCTCCTGAAGAGCGGAAGAAAGATGTTGACAACATCTTGTCATGGATCCGAAGCGGGAAACCCGAGGAAGGAAGCGAAATCGCCATCTTCAAGAAGGTCGATCAAATGTTGCCCAGCAAGCAGAAGCAGTCTGCAAGGGATAGAGCTCAAGAGATCGAAGGTGCTCTTGATTGGATGCGTAACAACAACGTTGAATTGGACATGGATGCGGATGTTCCTGCATTCCAGCAACTACAACCGATCCCTCTTTCTCGAAGAACTCCAGAAGAGCGAAAGGAAGACGTGAACAGCGCTTTGAACTGGTTGCGAAATGGAAAATCTGAAGACTTGGATCCGACAGGAGAATTCAATCGAATCGATCAGATGTTGCCCACCAAGAATGGACAATCCAACGAGGAGCGCGCACGGCAAATTGAAGGTACCGTTGATTGGATGAGGAATCAAGGTATTAAGTCAAGCGAAGACACCGAGGACCTCCCCGGATTCGAGAAGCTTTCATCAGTACCAATTAGCATGCGGACTCCTGAGGAAAGATCTGCTGATGTTAACAAAGCACTGAACTGGTTGCGAAATGGCAAGCAAGAATTAGAAGATCCAAACGGTGACTTCAAGCAAATTGATCAACTGTTGCCCCAAAAGAAGCAAACAAAGGAGGAGAGATCTAGAGAAATTGAACGCGCCCTTGACTGGATGCGCAACAACGGAGTTGGTCCAGAAGCCGCTCTTTCAGCCGATGATTTTAATCGACTTCCATCGATTCCTGTCACCCGACGAACTCCAGAAGAACGAATGAATGACATCGACAACATTTCCAGCTGGATGCGCAACGGAAAGGATTCTTCTATGGATCCTACTGGAGAATTCAAGAGAATCGATCAAATGCTTCCTAAGAAGAAGGGACAGAAGTCTGAAGACCGTATTCGTGATATTGAGTGTGCCTTGGACTGGATGAGAAACAAGGGTGTTGCTCCAGATGTCAACGATGACTTCAAACCAGGATTCAACAAGCTTGGATCAGTTCCATTGTCTCGCCGCACTCCCGAAGAACGCAAGAAGGATTTGAAGGGCGTCATGAACTGGATGCGTAACGGCAAGCAAGAGAGCGAAGACCCAACTGGAGACTTCAAGCGAATTGATCAAATGCTTCCAAAGAAGCGTGGTCAAAGTGGTGACGAACGTGCCAGAGAGATCGAAGGTGCACTTGACTGGATGCGAAACAAGGGTGTCAGTCCAGTTGACCCCTCTTCTGTTCCTGGTTTCAGTCCAACTGATGCCTCTCACTCTGTCCAACGTCGCACTCCTGATGAGCGAAGACAAGACCTGGATAGCGTCATGAAGTGGATGCGTAATGGCAAGAATGGTGAAGATGACCCAACTGGCGACTTCAAGAGAATCGACCAGATGCTTCCCAAGAAAAAGGGTCAAAGTCGAAAGCAGAGAGCTCAAGACATTGAGCATGCCTTGAATTGGGTCAGAGACGGGCCTCAACCTGATGAGGACATCGACGAATCTTTGCCGGAGTTCGATACATTGAAATCCATTCCACTTGCAACTAGAACTCCAGAGGAGAGACTGGAAGATGTCGATGCTCTTGTATCTTGGCTTCGAAGTGGAAAGAATGAACAATTTGATCCCACTGGAGCTTTCAAGCGTATCGATCAAGCAATTCCGCAAAGAAAGAAGCAAAGCTTTGAAGACCGCGCTCGAGACCTCGAGGGTGCCTTGGATTGGATGAGAAATCACGGAGTGTCCCCAGAAGATGAGGACTTCGCTGAGAAGTTCGAAAAACTTGGCTCCATTCCAGTGACCCGCCGCACTCCAGAGGATCGTGAGAAGGAAGAAAACGACATCATGAACTGGCTGCGCAACGGAAAAGCAGAGTCCGATGACCCAACAGGGGACTTCACTCGTATCGACCAAATGTTGCCCAAAAAGAAGGCACAAAAGTCCAAGGATCGCGCTCGTGAGATCGAAGGCGCCCTTGACTGGATGAGAAGCAACGGATTCTCGCCAGCTGACGAGGATGAAACCAAATCTCCCTTTGACACTCTTGCTTCAGTGCAAATTTCTAAGCGATCCCCAAAGCAACGCATGAATGAAGTTAATGGTATCATGAACTGGATGCGTAATCCTCAAGATGAATCGTTAGACCCGACTGGAGACTTCACTAAGATCGATCAAATCTTACCAAAGAAACAAGGGCAAACAAAGAAGGATCGCGCTCGTGACATTGAAGCTGCGGTAGACTGGATGAGAAACAATGATGTCTCTGCTGATGACGAAGAGTTTGTAGATGAGTTCCAAAAGCTTGGATCCATCCCAATGACTCGACGTACTCCTGAGGACCGTGAAAATGAAGAGAACGATATCATGAACTGGTTGCGCAACGGAAAGTCCGAATCTGATGATCCAACCGGAGACTTTACTCGTATCGACCAAATGTTGCCCAAGAAGAAGGGACAAAAGTCCAAGAGCCGTGCTCGTGAGATCGAAGGCGCACTTGATTGGATGAGAAGCAACGGCGTTTCTCCAAGTGATGTTGAAGAAACTCCAGGATTTGAATCTGTTCCATCGATTCAGATTTCTCGTCGTACCCCTGAGGGACGCAAGAACGATGTGGATGCTGTAATGAACTGGATGCGTACTGGAAAGTCTGACTCTGAAGATCCAACCGGAGACTTCACCAAGATTGACCAAATGTTGCCACAGAAGAAGGGACAAAAGCCCGAGGATCGCGCTCGTGAAATCGAAAGTGCTTTGGATTGGATGAGAAACAATGATGTTTCGCCTGATGACGAAGAGTTTGTAGATGAGTTCCAAAAGCTTGGATCCATCCCAATGACTCGTCGTACTCCTGAGGACCGTGAAAACGAAGAGAACGATATCATGAACTGGTTGCGCAATGGAAAATCCGAATCTGATGATCCAACCGGAGACTTTACTCGTATCGACCAAATGTTGCCCAAGAAGAAGGGACAAAAGTCCAAGAGCCGTGCTCGTGAGATCGAAGGCGCACTTGATTGGATGAGAAGCAACGGCGTTTCTCCAAGTGATGTTGAAGAAACTCCAGGATTTGAATCTGTTCCATCGATTCAGATTTCTCGTCGTACCCCTGAGGGACGCAAGAACGATGTGGATGCTGTAATGAACTGGATGCGTACTGGAAAGTCTGACTCTGAAGATCCAACCGGAGACTTCACCAAGATTGACCAAATGTTGCCACAGAAGAAGGGACAAAAGCCCGAGGATCGCGCTCGTGAAATCGAAAGTGCTTTGGATTGGATGCGAAACAATGATGTTTCGCCTGATGACGAAGAGTTTGTAGATGAGTTCCAAAAGCTTGGATCCATCCCAATGACTCGCCGTACTCCTGAGGACCGTGAAAACGAAGAGAACGATATCATGAACTGGTTGCGCAATGGAAAATCCGAATCTGATGATCCAACTGGAGACTTTACTCGTATCGACCAAATGTTGCCCAAGAAGAAGGGACAAAAGTCCAAGAGCCGTGCTCGTGAGATCGAAGGCGCACTTGATTGGATGAGAAGCAACGGCGTTTCTCCAAGTGATGTTGAAGAAACTCCAGGATTTGAATCTGTTCCATCGATTCAGATTTCTCGTCGTACCCCTGAGGGACGCAAGAACGATGTGGATGCTGTAATGAACTGGATGCGTACTGGAAAGTCTGACTCTGAAGATCCAACCGGAGACTTCACCAAGATTGACCAAATGTTGCCACAGAAGAAGGGACAAAAGCCCGAGGATCGCGCTCGTGAAATCGAAAGTGCTTTGGATTGGATGAGAAACAATGATGTTTCGCCTGATGACGAAGAGTTTGTAGATGAGTTCCAAAAGCTTGGATCCATCCCAATGACTCGTCGTACTCCTGAGGACCGTGAAAACGAAGAGAACGATATCATGAACTGGTTGCGCAATGGAAAATCCGAATCTGATGATCCAACCGGAGACTTTACTCGTATCGACCAAATGTTGCCCAAGAAGAAGGGACAAAAGTCCAAGAGCCGTGCTCGTGAGATCGAAGGCGCACTTGATTGGATGAGAAGCAACGGCGTTTCTCCAAGTGATGTTGAAGAAACTCCAGGATTTGAATCTGTTCCATCGATTCAGATTTCTCGTCGTACCCCTGAGGGACGCAAGAACGATGTTGATGCTGTAATGAACTGGATGCGTACTGGAAAGTCTGACTCTGAAGATCCAACCGGAGACTTTACCAAGATCGATCAAATGTTGCCAAAGAAGAAGGGACAAAATCCCGAGGACCGCGCTCGTGAAATCGAAAGTGCTTTGGACTGGATGAGAAACAATGATGTTTCGCCTGACGACGAAGAGTTTGTAGATGAGTTCCAAAAGCTTGGATCCATCCCAATGACTCGCCGTACTCCTGAGGACCGTGAAAATGAAGAGAACGATATCATGAACTGGTTGCGCAACGGAAAGTCCGAATCTGATGACCCGACCGGAGAATTTACTCGTGTCGACCAAATGTTGCCCAAGAAGAAGGGACAAAAGTCCAAGAGCCGTGCTCGTGAGATCGAAGGCGCACTTGATTGGATGAGAAGCAACGGCGTTTCTCCAAGTGATGTTGAAGAAGCTTACCCCGCTTTTGATCCTCTCTCTTCGGTACAAATTTCTAAGCGGTCCCCAAGACAACGAATGAACGATGTGGATGCTGTAATGAACTGGATGCGTACTGGAAAGTCTGACTCTGAAGATCCAACCGGAGACTTCACCAAGATTGACCAAATGTTGCCACAGAAGAAGGGACAAAAGCCCGAGGATCGCGCTCGTGAAATCGAAAGTGCTTTGGATTGGATGCGAAACAATGATGTTTCGCCTGATGACGAAGAGTTTGTAGATGAGTTCCAAAAGCTTGGATCCATCCCAATGACTCGCCGTACTCCTGAGGACCGTGAAAACGAAGAGAACGATATCATGAACTGGTTGCGCAATGGAAAATCCGAATCTGATGATCCAATCGGAGACTTTACTCGAATCGACCAAATGTTGCCTAAGCGGAAGGGACAAAAGTCCAAGAGCCGTGCTCGTGAGATTGAAGGTGCTCTTGATTGGATGAGAAGCAACGGCGTTTCTCCAACTGACGTCGAAGAATCACCTGATTTTGATTCTGTTCCATCGATCCAGATTTCTCGTCGTACCCCTGAGGGACGCAAGAACGATGTGGATGCTGTAATGAACTGGATGCGTACTGGAAAGTCTGACTCTGAAGATCCAACCGGAGACTTCACCAAGATTGACCAAATGTTGCCACAGAAGAAGGGACAAAAGCCCGAGGATCGCGCTCGTGAAATCGAAAGTGCTTTGGATTGGATGAGAAACAATGATGTTTCGCCTGATGACGAAGAGTTTGTAGATGAGTTCCAAAAGCTTGGATCCATCCCAATGACTCGTCGTACTCCTGAGGACCGTGAAAACGAAGAGAACGATATCATGAACTGGTTGCGCAACGGAAAGTCCGAATCTGATGATCCAACTGGAGAATTTACTCGTGTCGACCAAATGTTGCCCAAGAAGAAGGGTCAAAAGTCCAAGAGCCGTGCTCGTGAGATCGAAGGCGCTCTTGATTGGATGAGAAGCAACGGCGTTTCTCCAAGTGATGTTGAAGAAGCTTACCCAGATTTTGATCCTCTCTCTTCGGTACAAATTTCTAAGCGGTCCCCAAGACAACGAATGAACGATGTTGATGCTGTCATGAACTGGATGCGTACTGGAAAGTCTGACTCTGAAGATCCAACCGGAGACTTTACCAAGATTGACCAAATGTTGCCACAGAAGAAGGGACAAAAGCCCGAAGATCGCGCTCGTGAAATCGAAAGTGCTTTGGATTGGATGCGAAACAACGATGTTTCGCCTGATGACGAAGAGTTTGTAGATGAGTTCCAAAAGCTTGGATCCATCCCAATGACTCGCCGTACTCCTGAGGACCGTGAAAATGAAGAGAACGATATCATGAACTGGTTGCGCAATGGAAAATCCGAATCTGATGATCCAACCGGAGACTTTACTCGTATCGACCAAATGTTGCCCAAGAAGAAGGGACAAAAGTCCAAGAGCCGTGCTCGTGAGATCGAAGGCGCACTTGATTGGATGAGAAGCAACGGCGTTTCTCCAACAGATGACCTCTCCTCTTCTTCTTTAGCCAATGTACCATCGATCCAGATTTCTCGTCGTACCCCTGAGGGACGCAAGAACGATGTGGATGCTGTAATGAACTGGATGCGTACTGGAAAGTCTGACTCTGAAGATCCAACCGGAGACTTCACCAAGATTGACCAAATGTTGCCACAGAAGAAGGGACAAAAGCCCGAGGATCGCGCTCGTGAAATCGAAAGTGCTTTGGATTGGATGAGAAACAATGATGTTTCGCCTGATGACGAAGAGTTTGTAGATGAGTTCCAAAAGCTTGGATCCATCCCAATGACTCGTCGTACTCCTGAGGACCGTGAAAACGAAGAGAACGATATCATGAACTGGTTGCGCAATGGAAAATCCGAATCTGATGATCCAACCGGAGACTTTACTCGTATCGACCAAATGTTGCCCAAGAAGAAGGGACAAAAGTCCAAGAGCCGTGCTCGTGAGATCGAAGGCGCACTTGATTGGATGAGAAGCAACGGCGTTTCTCCAAGTGATGTTGAAGAAACTCCAGGATTTGAATCTGTTCCATCGATTCAGATTTCTCGTCGTACCCCTGAGGGACGCAAGAACGATGTTGATGCTGTAATGAACTGGATGCGTACTGGAAAGTCTGACTCTGAAGATCCAACCGGAGACTTTACCAAGATCGATCAAATGTTGCCAAAGAAGAAGGGACAAAATCCCGAGGACCGCGCTCGTGAAATCGAAAGTTCTTTGGATTGGATGAGAAACAATGATCTTTCGCCTAATGACGAAGAGTTTGTAGATGAGTTCCAAAAGCTTGGATCCATCCCATTGACTCGCCGTACTCCAGAAGAACGTAAGGGGGAGGTTGATGATGTCATGAACTGGTTGCGTAATGGAAAATCCGAATCTGATGATCCAACTGGAGACTTTACTCGTATCGACCAAATATTGCCAAAGAAGAAGGGACAAAAGTCCAAGAGCCGTGCTCGTGAGATCGAAGGCGCTCTTGATTGGATGAGAAGCAACGGCGTTTCTCCAAGTGATGTTGAAGAATCACCCGAATTTGATACAGTTCCATCGATCCAGATTTCTCGTCGTACCCCTGAGGGACGGAAGAACGATGTTGATGCTGTCATGAACTGGATGCGTACTGGAAAGTCTAACAATGAGGACCCAACCGGGGACTTCAGCAAGATCGACCAGATTTTGCCCAAAAAGAGAGGTCAAAATCCCGAGGACCGCGCTCGTGAAATCGAGGGAGCTTTGGACTGGATGAGAAACAATGATGTTTCTCCTGACGACGAAGAGTTTGTTGATGAGTTCCAAAAGCTTGGATCCATCCCAATGACTCGTCGTACTCCTGAGGAACGCAAGGGGGAGGTTGATGATGTCATGAACTGGTTGCGCAACGGAAAATCTGAATCTGATGATCCAACTGGAGACTTTACTCGTATCGACCAAATTTTGCCCAAGAAGAAATCACAAAAGCCAAAGGACCGTGCCCGTGAGATGGAAGGTGCACTCGACTGGATGAGGAATAACAATATCTTGCCTGAGGACGTTGAACAAACCCCTGCGTTCGAAACGCTCCCATCTGTTCCTGTTTCTAAGAGAACACCTGAAGAACGAATGAACGATGTCGATGATATCATGAACTGGATGCGTAATCCTCAAGATGAATCTGCTGACCCCACTGGAGAATTTACTCGCGTTGACCAGATGTTGCCCAAGAAGAAGGGACAAAAGCCCAAGGACCGCGCTCGTGAAATCGAGGGAGCTTTGGACTGGATGAGAAACAAGGGTGTCAAGCCTAGCGAAGATGAACCCGTGTCATCCTTTGAGAAGCTTGGATCAGTTCCTATTTCTCGTCGTACTCCTGAGGAACGCAAGGGAGATGTTGATGGTGTCATGAACTGGTTGCGCAACGGAAAGACCGAGTCTGAGGATCCAACTGGAGACTTTACTCGTATTGACCAAATGTTGCCCAAGAAGAAGGGACAAAAGCCAAAGGACCGCGCCCGTGAGATTGAAAGTGCCCTTGACTGGATGAGAAACAACGATGTCTCTCCAGTTGAAGTTGAGCCCACTGATGCAGGATTCAAATCTGTTCCATCTGTTCCTGTTTCTAAGAGAACACCTGAAGAACGAATGAACGATGTCGATGATATCATGAACTGGATGCGTAATCCTCAAGATGAATCTGCTGACCCCACTGGAGA